GCCATTTTCCACGGTTACATGGGTTAGCCACGATTACCTGATGGCAGCTGTTGGGTGCAACCAGAACAGGACATCTCCCCTCATTAAACCAACCAGCCCAGAAAATGCAGCGCAGATCAGAGGTTAGGCACAGCTCTGGTTACCCAGTTGCCATCAGTTTTATATCTCGATGCCCTTCCTAATGCCAGCCCACAGGATGGAAACAGCTGGCAAGGCAGGGTCAAAATTCCCTGACATATTAAAAAACTACAAACGCCACCCCCCTTGTCCATTTGTCCATTTTCTTGGCTTCCTTACATGTGCCATTGCTAATCAGGCCAGAAGGGACTAGACATCCATTACCAAGTGAAGAGACTTTTCAACATTAGATGACTCCAGGCAAAGACATCCAGCATCTGTCTGCTGTTTCCATTACTAAACTTCAATATGCAGATGAACTCGCCCTCATTGCTCACACTAAACACAACCTACAATAGGTTCTGAGCACTTATGCAGATGCGTATACATACTTCAGCCTTTAGCTGAATGTATGCAAGATGCAGTTTGTTACATCCAACCACTACTTAATTCACATTGCCACTATCCACCCAGGTTCATGGGACCACCCTCTGCAACATTAACTATTTCTAGTACCTTAGTTCCTCCACCATGGACATCAATAAGGTGATCCAACAGTGGAATAGACGTGTTTCTCAGGCCATTAGCAAACTGCATACACCTTTTTTCAGCTATGAGAAAGTGATCCTATCAAAAAAGTTGCTGATCCATCAAGCAGCCGTCCTCACTCTGCGGTGGCAGTAAAACATCGGTCACATACAGAAGACACCTCAAGGCACTTGGGGCTGTGATCAGCTTAGTTTATGTTCTATCCTTCAAGTCCTCTGGGAAGGCAGGAGGACAAATTCCTGTATCCTCACTGACACCAACTGTAGGAGGATTAAAGCTGACATTGTCCATGACCAGCTGCATTGTATGAGCCACATAACCCATATGAATTAGTGTAAACTGCCATGGAAGATACATTACTCTATCACTCCTTAAAAAATGGTAAACATGGTGTTGGTGGGCAACAGAAGAGGTATGAGGATATTCGAAAGACAGACTTGAAAAATTGTCAAATTGACATTCACACTAGGGGAATTATTATCTCAAACCTGTGACTTTTGGAAAAGTACTACATGAGTGGGTGTTAAAACCTTTAAATTGGATTGACTACACACTGAGGCGTACAAGTGCTAGTCTTGGAAAGATACTGCTAATGCCCCCTCCCATACTAGATGTATCCTGCCACATATGCAACATCTGTAGGCAACCCTGTCAATCCCACATTGTCCTCTCAAACCTCTATAAAGCTCACCCATTAATGTGACAAACAAATTATTCCTATATTTCTGTTATCATTGGGTGGACATCATATTTGACTCCAGTTAACAGCAGAGTGTGTGTTTGTATCTTGTTTGTTTGTGTCTATGCACTTCTGGTTATTTGTGTCCATGTGTGAGTGTCTTTTTAATATGTGTATGTTTGTACAGTAGAATCAAAGTTATATGGTATCTGGGCAACCAGCAGATTCAACTGACCCGCAATAAAATGAAATAATAATAAACAAAAATCTTTTTATCCAGCATCTCTTAATCCCCATAGGTACCAAATGACTGGGATTCTACTGTGTGTGTGTGTGCGCGCCTGTTTGTTAACCCCTATGCCCCGGGCTAGGGTGGTGCTGGCTGTACCCCCTACGCGGGGTAAAATGGGGAAAATAAATTTTTCCAAAAATAAATTTTAATATTTATATGTGATAAAATAATAAAAAAGACATAAGAAAAACTATATATTGTCCCTCAGTGGCGAGTGAAATAAGGAGAATTGTGGGTTTTCTTACGGGGAGCAGCTCGCAGTCACTATGCATTAGGGGTCCTTTTCTCGTCTCCTTTGTGTCCGAGATGGCCAAAAATGCATATTTTTACTGATCAAAATACTTATTTCCTATAAATACAGCTGCTCCCCTACTTACAACGGGGTTAGGGACCCAAATCCAGGTCGTAAGTCGAAAATGCTTAAATAATACATAGAAAATCTAAAATGGGTGTTCCTTTTTCTTCTCATCACCACAAAACTCACTTTTACGCTTGCCAGCCATTTTAAAGTGAATTACAAACGAAAACTTTGTCAGTACACAGTGCAATCACTGACGTTGGGACTCAAAAATACGTAATTTGACAAAATTTTGGTACGACTGAGGCGGTCATATGTCCGGGTGGTCATAAGTCGAGTAGGTCGTAAGTCATTTAGAATTTATTTTATTTGCATTACTTTTCATTAAGACTGTTTGGCGACACACACCCAGTCTGTCGCCAGGCTGTCAGGTAGAGCAAGTAAGTCATAAATAATTATTGGAATAATAATTCCACAAATAAATACATTCATAACATTATCATCTTGTAATACTACACTACAATACAACTACACTAGTTTTAGTAATATTACTTTGATACAACATGATAAAATAAATAAACAAAAGAAGGTACTTACCAAGAAGCTTCCCTCCAGCCGTGCATAGATAAATGAGGTGGGTGGGTGGTGTGTTGCCACCCTGACCCTGGGTGTATGCTAGCACCTGTGGGTAGAGACTAGTGAATGCATACAACTGTGTACCTTTTCCACAAATATGTCACTTAGTTCCTTACAAATACACTACAATTATTTACACTATTTACAAGCACGTGCCACATTGTTTTAGAATGTTTTCTTGGAGTGGTACTCCACGAAGCAAGGTGGACAGAGACCAACGTCACACTCCTTGCACCACGTCCTTACACTTAGCTGCGCGCTTTGTGGTGTTAGCACAGACATAACACCACCTTTGCCCCTTGTGACCACCTGGACCAGTTGGTAAGAAGTCCATGTTGTGACGAACAACCCAGTCATGTGCAAATAGTCTGTCAGGTAGGCCTGCTTGGCTGTGGCGTCGTGGTGCAGTTGCCACAATGGTGCCATATTTCTCCAGGATTTGTAATATCACTTGCTTCTGAAAAACCCTGAGAGGGGGTTTTTTCCCAGTTTTTACTAGGTACAAGTTGTATGCATTCAGGATGATGTCCGTGAGGTGTAGGAACATCTTCTTGTACCACTTGAGACATTTCCATACACACTCAATTGAGCCAACCTGCATGTCACTCTTGTCCACAAAGCTCATGTTGACATTGTAGTCCATGACAGCGTCAGGTTTTTCATTACCTCTCCTGAGGTCCAGTCCCTTTTTCCACTGTCAATCATTTCACCCTTGTGAACGGTTGACAGCATCTGTACAGTACTCTTATCTTGCCAGCGTATTGCAAGCATCTTGTCTGCTTGCTTCAGCTGGATCTTTCCTCGGGCAGGTTTACAAGTAAACACGGGCCAGTGTTTTCTGTTCTTGCATACAGTTCTACAAGAGCCGATGTCATGATCAAGTAGGAACTTGGCCAGGGCAGGAGAGGTATAATAATTATCAGTGTAGAGAATGTGATTCCCTCCAAAGTAGTGGTCCATAAGTTTCTTGACAACAGCGCCAGAGAAACAATGTGGGTCGTCCTTGGGTATGTCTGCATCACTTGCTGTGTATACTATGAGATCTAAGACATACCCAGTATCGCATTCACACAGCACAAAGAACTTGATCCCAAAACGATGTCGTTTGGAGGGAATGTATTGTCCTCTGAAAAGCACCAGAGACTCGTCCACCACTACGTTTTAAAAGGGTCTGAAGAACTTCGTAAAGCGTTGCTTCAGCATCGTTAAAACTTCCCTTATTTTCCAAAGTCTGTCACCAGCCATAGGAATGTTATCTACAAAGTGTAGATAACATAGGATGGAGGCAAACCGGTCTCTGGACATGAATTTTGAAAACAATGGAGTTGCAGTGATATCATCAGGAGGTATCCAATACTCCTGAAGTACATGTTTTTTCACATGTGCCATCGGCATCGATAATGCAAAAAACACATACAGTTCGGCAACACCGACATCATTCCATCGACGCTTGTGTGGCGAGGGGCCAGACCCAGGGTCAGCCTCACATGTGTACTGATGAAATTTGTTTGTCTCGTTACACAGTAAGTCCACCATAATTTCACCATCAAAGAACGCACAAAAATAATCTATTTCACGTGATTCCTGTGTACAAGGAAATTCAGGAGTAATTCCACTTGATGATCTTCTGAATTCAGGGATATCAAGCTGAAAATTACTGCCATCAGACCAAACAAAGGCATCCATTGTCCCTTGTCTGGGTCGTGAGCGCCTGGCGGGGATATGCCGCTCTGGCTGGGCCTCATTGCCCGCGTCCTCCTCTTCCTCAGTGGTTGACACGACATCGTCCAACTCAATGCTATCATCTTGGTCACTAGGCTGATAATCACTGCCTTCATCACCACTTTCACCAGAATCGACCACTACAGCACTCAAATAAAAAAGCTCTGTCCTTATTTTGCAATCATCCAACCCGCGGCGACAACACTTGATTGGGGTAGAAGGTGGGGGGGGAATTGGCTCGAGAAGTTGAAGGGCTACACTCCATGACCACGGGCAAATGGTTACTGACCGTACTGGACCTACTCGCACTCCCCTCCATGTTCCGGGAGAGAAAAATAGTCATGCTGGTACATGTTAGCCTAGGTTGGGCATTCAAACAGTGGCGGGAAAAGGCGCGCGTTCTGGAACGTCACCCGGGGCGTAGGGTTAATACATGCATATGTATGTGTGGATGCACATGCACCATATTTTTGATGAATTTAATATTAGATGTTAATGTTTAGCTATCATCAGCTTTTCAAGGCTTTAATGTATACAGTACTTATAAACTATGGGTTATCAGACAACAGTTACTGTATTATCTAGTCAAACTGTAGAAACAATGCTTTTGATTTTCAACAAAACGAGACACAATATTGCTTTTATTACATTTTATTAAAGAATATATTTAGTAGTCATCTTCTTAATGCTACATATATTTTTTCCAGGTCTTCATCCATGACTGCTCCATGGTTCCAAACTATCCTCTTCTATTCTTTGGAGAGAAACTGAACTATGATCATACTAAAGGAGTGATAAATGTTGATGGGTTCGTACGGGTTCGCAGCTCTCAACACGTAGCTCACTTGGTGCAGGTAAGTTTTCCGTAATTTTGAAACCGTAACAGTGGCACAGATCAGATGCTGTCACACTGAATAATTTATTCTCCTGCATTATTAATATTTGACTAAAACAAAAATGTATTGCATAGTGCTCTTGATCTAATAATTGAATTACAGCTATACTGTGAAAAGTATTGTATCATTTGCTCATGAAAATTTTTAACAATATTGGTATTTGTTGGGTGTTTCTGCTTTAGAACTTACGTAATGAATTAGATCGACTTCTGGAATACAAGATTAGCCATCCAGGCATGACACAGTGGGGGAGATCAAATAAGGAAGGTGCGCTCCTCCAAACAATCGTGGACCTTATTACAAGTGAGAAAAAGACCTCACAAGATTACCAGGATTATGTTGCTGACCAAGATGATGATGAAAATTGAATCCTCCTCAAATCTTGATACAGGAAATTAAGTGAAGTTGACTTTATACTACTTAACTTAATCAGAATTGTCTACAACAAATGCCTTTGTATTGACCTGTTCATGGTATGCAATAAAATATTGCTCTAGTTTGTGTCCATTACATTCCCAGTAAATTATAAGAAATGTTTAGGAACAGCAAGTATTTCCTAACTGCTGGTTTAAGTGTAACAGATACCCACTGAATTATATATAAAAAATTTATTTAATGCAAAATAAATTACAGTATTGTACTTAAATATGTACCATTTGGGAACCAAATTCATATCAGCCTTGTGCCAGCATGTCTTTCACAAAGAATCACTTTATAATGATATTCACTTGTTCTTCGGCTAGTTATTTCTCTCTGAATATAGGTTACAATCACTTTTGAGTAGGTTAACTGACTTTGTATTTGAGGCGCCGAGTGCGACAAGGGGCCAAAGATCACAATCAAGAAAAACTCCCTTAAAGTTTGGAAAAATTCAAAATGACGTAACCTTTGAACCAATGAAGATATTGAGTTCATTCAAGTGACAGTGTGTAGAGCTCTTAAAGCTGGTTTTGCAGATATTAAAGTCATTCATTGCATGGTAGCAATAATGTATTAAGACTACACCAGAAAGTCAAAGGTCATTGTACTGTTTATAAAAGCAAGCAATACTAGGAATTACCAATATTTTGACCGGGGGCCAAGTGCCAATAAGTTTAATAAATATATAAATGCAGGTACTTAGCTCATAGTTACTATTAGAAAGATTACAGTAAACAATGACTTGTAAAACCAATATTACCACCCACCCTAGCTGCCTCTGCCCCCCAATCCCCTATTGGTGCAATAAGACTCATCACTCGGATAGGCTGGAACATGACAGGCCACATGCCACCAACCCTCCCTCCCACCTTCCTCGCCCTTCCTCCTCTCTGTTTTGTTTATTATTCTCTCAATAGTCCTCCCTCCCTCCTTTCTGCCAGTTGGAAAGAAAAACAAGTTATTACATAGCATTCCTATGACATTTTTGTAGAAACATGGATTCCCATTAGCTAAGAAACCGGAAAATAATGAGTCACTATGAGCGACAGGCTACGATTGGGGGCTGCACTGTAGGCTGGCCAGACGTCCTGCTTTTGAGCACTCTGTCCTCCGTCCTGCGCCATCTCAAGCAGGACGTTAATTTGTCCTTCTCTTTTGGGCCTGTCTAAAAAGAATTATATAAATTACCTTGTGTATACTAAAACAGTGGGAACTGAAGGCCACATTGGTAAGTAGGCTACTTCCTTTAGTTTGTCAAGTAAGTTGATTTGGTCAGCATACAGTATGTTGTTCCAGCAGGAGTAAAAATGAATATTCATTTATTTCGGTTCTTTATTTATACTGTATGAATGCATGTATCATGTATGTAACATATACAGTGCGTTTAAAAAAATTTAAGTTTTAGAAAAACCACAAAATAGCTTTCATTACATTATAGTGATATTTGACAAATCAACACTTCTAAGTATATTTTGTATATTTTATACAACTTTTTATATTTCAACTCATCATTAAACATGTTTATTTTAGGTTAAAAATAAGTGTCGTAAAAATTTTAAAAATTTCCTCCTTTTTGGAAATTTGAAAATGGCCACCCTAGGCTGCAGGCACTTGTCCCCCCCCCCCTCCTCCCCTCCTCCCCAGTCCAACTCGAGGCGCAGATCACGCGCTGTAGACACTTTTACCTACCTTGGCTAATATGGTTCTCAGCCTTACAAATATTGTGCTTCTGGGCCAGTTTGTTTTTCTGCAGATAGAGGAAAGGTTGAGGAGTACACATAATACTATAACTCAATTTTGGGGTGATGGCGCTTGGCCCCTTGTCACACTCAGTGCCTCATATTTTATGTTAGTATATAATTAGCACATGTTTGGATATGCTTGTACACACACTCCTCTTTAACACTGATAAACAATACACTTCTTTCCAATGCTGATTAAGCTTACATGGCCAAAAAAAGGTATAACCCTCTTTCAGTGTTATATTGAAAGTTTCATTATTGCAGGGACTTTCACCAGACACAGGTACACTACTATATACAAACTATATATGATATATAAAGATGCAAGTCATATACAGTGGATTGTGAGAGGTTTGGTGAAGTTGGAGATGTGTCCACTGCTCCATGTATTGGATGGATGCTTGGTGATGGTGGTTAGTAGTTATTTCCTGTTATTTAGATACAACCTAACCGACACAAAATCGTGTACATTTCAACACAGAAATATACTGTGCAGGTAGTCTACACTACAGTATATGAAAGAATACATTTTTCAGAAGTCCTTTATAAAACAAAACTTCATATAGTGAAAGCAACTTTCCAGTAGATATAATTTTATAAATGGAAGTGTTCTTGGAGTTGATTTTCAGATACCTATGGTACTAAAATTAAGTAGACTATAAATACAGAATGTACTTTACATACTAACTCAAACAGTTGGACCTCTTTTATCAGGCATCACCCATGGCCTGAAATTTTTTAGGAATGCCATCTTGTTCCATTTTCTGCCTCAGTACAGCCACATTGTTTACCTTATTTGGATGTCTCTCAGCAATGTGTTTGGGCATACTTCTACAGATTAACCCCTTAATTATGCCTTTAAAGGGTCCACTGAGAAGTAGTGGTGAGGGTGGATCAGCCAAACATTGTTAAAACATACAAATGTATCGTGTCTATCAAGTCACATGTCACTTGTGTCCATTTATGCCTTTTTTTTTTTACCCCCTCTAGATTTTCAGGCCTGGTCATTGTCAGAATAAACCAATAGAAATAGGAGGGATCAGTGTAACATCACTGAAGCTGTAGCAAGCACCTGGTTTTATTAGTAGGTCAGGTCATTTTGGGAACAGAAAAGTGAGTTCAACCCAGCTGTGACATCTCGATGTGTCATCAGCTCAAGCACATGTACCATGCCCCCCCTCCTCCATCACCTTGTTGGTCAAACATGTATGGGTCACGCAACACCTGACAAATTCCTGTCTGGGTACAGCATTTTCTCACAAAATATTAACTTGCCTTCCATGTACAAGGACATGAAAAATCACTTGTTCACCCCCAAGTCTGGGCTGCTAGGCACTGCAGAGATATGTATGTTTGAGTTGATAAAAGCCTACTATATATTATATTTTCTCCTTTCTTTCATTCTTTTCTAGTTATTCTTCACACTCTTGGGGTTTTCATATGCAAAATTGTGTTTGATCTAAGTTATTGCTTTAGGGTTTCCTTGCACAAATTTGCATATGTCAAAAATTAAAATAAAATAATTTTGTTTGCATATGAACGCTAGACACCCAAGACTCTCACTTGGCAATGTCAACACGATCAGGTAACTATGTAGACTACACTCCCTTTTGTGTTTAAAGGACCCAGGATATGACCTTGACCCACACATTTACTTTCAGCTTGTGCTGATTTCTTGTGCATCACAGTGATTTCTTTTATTCATAACAGTGTTGCAAGAGTTTTGAACCGTGCCTCGTGTTGCTGGCGAGGGTGAAAGGGTGGGCAAACTTAAAAGGTGCAAGGAGATGGCACCACGTAGTGTGGTGCCTGGGCGATCTCATCAGAACACAATATTCACAACTTTCTTCTATAATTATTGCTTTATAATGGAATATGGTTCATATTGCTATCACATGAAATAATGAAAGTATAAATTATGTATAAACCAAAAAACATTGTTCTACTTGCGCTTACATATGGAAATGATTATTTTATTGTTATTACTCATATAAAACTGTTTCTAGATGATTTATTTACAATGCCAATGCAACAAATTCCACCTTTTTATATCAAATAGCAAGCTTGCTATGACATTACGTACAATTATCTCTCGTGTGGCACAGTCAAGTGCAGTGAGGTGAATAACAGGCCAGCTCCCGAGCATCTCACAGGAGAGTGCGTACCCAAACACAAGAGTGTTAAATGACCACCTGAGGTCCGGCAAAGGGTCAGGTCCCATGGTTGCTGGATTAGAGAGGTTCAATTGTAAATTAATATAGAACAACACTCAATGTATACTGTAATTAAAGGAATACTCACCACAACTTCATTAAAACAGTTAAGATGCATAAATTGATGTATTACAGGGGATGATTTTGACTCATTTTAAATATACTATAGTTTATCTGAGTCCAGAAACTTCTTGTGAATTCCCCTTACAGAAGGAAGAACACAGGTGCAGAAATCACCTCTACCTCTCAGTGAGAGGAAGAAAGGTTTGACACATGTACAGTATACTGTACCTTCTCTCTAACCTATATACAGTACAGCCCAGACCACTGACATAGGAATGCTCTAAAATACCTGTGGCAGCACCCTAACTCCTTTACTACGGGGATGGCACTTTTAATATTTTATTTGGCTAACACCAGAACATTTTATTCAGCTCAGAGGGGAACCCATACACAAGGAATTAATAATTTCTGATAATGCAGAACAATAACAAAGAAGTAAACCAGACATTGTCTACAAGTGCTTTTTGATGAGTCGCAAGTCTAATCTCGAGTCACCATGGATAAAATAAATATTTTATCTGTTTACATAATGATCAGTTGTACTATTCAGAAGCTCTAAAACTGAATGTTTTAATGTTCAAGTAAATTAAGCCTCACTTAACCGATAGTGCAAATAGCGAATTTTGTATTTGCACTTGATTTTTGCACTGATGACGAGAATCGGGTGAAAATAGTTAAAGCATTATTTGAAGCTGAGATTTCGACACCATAATCAAATCTTATTAGAATTTGAGACTGACAAAACTCGGGTTTCTTTGGTTAGTTCAGTTAGGTACCAGATATCAAAGTAAGTTTTTATACAGTAAGCCCTCGCTTAACGTCAGGGTTACGTTTCTAAAAACGCGACGTTATACGAAACAACGTTAAGCAGATCAATTTTACCCATAAGAAATAGATAAAATACGGGAGTTACGTTCCTGAGCCTCCCTTTGCCCCATGAAATACATTACATATACAGAAAATCATTGCCATTTCTATAGAAAATGGTGCATACATATGCAACTACTGTACTAAGTTTGTATAGGGACTCACCGATTGGTGGAGGTGGTAGAGCGAGTG